AGCTTTATACTATGTATGTAATAAACACAATTCTACTCCAAAGAGAAAAAAAAAATAAAATAAAATTACCAAAATTTTTGTAATATAGTTGGTCAAAAGTGCCTTTCAGACAGAAGTCTAGCAGCCTTTGACTACATTTGTTCTCTTAAAAGAGAAATACTTATCTGATATAATAATAATAATTAATAATTATAAAAAAGACAATTTTTTTTATTTATTCGTATTATTATTTATTTATTAATTCATTGTTTTTTTTATTTATTTAAATTCTAGTGTTAAAATATTACTTGTGTTTAAATCCCAAAAACCAAAGTCCAGAGAGAAATGAACTTTGTTTTTATTATTATTATGTGCTGTATTTGTTTACTGAGCAGCAATAAATAACCCTTTAAAATATAAGTTTTCGTGTGATTTATTAAACCAGTAGTGTTTTAAAATTAATGAATGCATAATAATCATGATAACTATGAATATTCCTCAGACTATAATCGTACAACTTTTAATCAATACATAATAAAAACTATAATCGTTCAATGCATCTTGTATGATTTCTTAGATTGGTTATCACTAAATTAAAGTAGAAATTACATTTATACGTATTTACTTTAAAAGCCCTCTTAGGTAAACTACCATCCTATCTTTCTAATTTGCTAACATTTTACGTAAATAACCAACACTAGATTTGGTTCCTGTATTTGGTTAAATCCTAGGGCTTGGAATGACCTGCAAAACCTGCTTAATCTTGATACATTTCCCACTCTGAGTACTTTTAAACATCCTCTATACAACGTCTTAAAGGATACTTGTAATTGTTTTTTATGATCTGACCTTTTTCCGAATGGTGACTTTGTAATCTTGTGATATTTTTTTTTTGTGATATTTATGTGAAACTTCATGCGCTGCCTGCCGTCTTGACCAGGTCTTACTAGAAGAAGAGACAGTACTGTCTCAATGTGATCTCCTGGCAAAATAAAGGAAATAATAAAAAAACAAAATCTATCATCTGTAATCGTTGCATCCCTATTTAATGTTCTATTAATGCTGTTATAATGCTGGTTTATGCAGTCTAAAAAAATGCTCAATATATTATTGCAATTTTTGGTGTTTACCTATTTTCTAAAAGCACAAACCAAAAGTCATTAGCAACCAGAATTGACCATCATTCGAAAAATACTGGATTATGTAGGTACATAAGTTAGCCCATCATGAAAGCATTTCAGAATCACTGTTTTATGTGGATTGCATTAAAGATATCCTCTTATAAACTTGACATACAAGAATTTTAGTGTGAAAATTACACAAACCATCTCAATAAACCTTTGCCTGCATTCTGAAGAAGCCTCCTACTGACTCCAGTGTCATGGGTATTCATTTAATGTGAAATTTTCTGCAAAAATGAAAGCCATTAGGGGAATTATTAATTATTTAGACATGATTAATCTCATGCTGCTTTGGTCCAATACTTGCACTGAGGATTTTGTTCTGTGCAGGTTTGCTGGTGAAATAATTTCCGATGGAGAAGCTAACATTCGGGAAAACGACTCCTACATGTTCAACCTAGACAATAAGGCAAGTTAAGAGGTTTGGCTTGTCAAGATTATTTTCATTAAGCTAATTCTACTCTAGTCATACTTGTGGCCTTCAGGGGGCGCTAAAGTATATCAAAATGCCAATAATATTGAAGCAGCTTTATATTTGTGTATTTAATGGCGACCTTTTTTTGTAGGTTGGAGAGGCCTACTGCATTGATGGACAATTTTATGGTAATGTTAGCAGGTTTATGAATCATCTTTGTGAGCCCAATCTATTCCCAGTACGAGTGTTCACCAAACATCAAGACATGCGCTTTCCTCGTATTGCATTCTTTGCAAGCAAGCATATTCAAGCTGGAGATGAGCTTGGGTAAACCTTTATAAGTTTATTATTATTATTATTATTATTATTACTATGTGCTTCCATAAGGCTCCTGCAACTTTAGTTTCTGTCTTCTTTGTCTGCATTTGTAACTATTTGAAATGAATCTTCTTTCTCCTCAGGTTTGACTATGGGGATCATTACTGGCAAATCAAGAAAAAGTACTTCCGCTGCCAATGTGGCTCTGGAAAATGTAGGTACTCTGAGGTCGTTCCGGACCGGAACCATGCAGAAAGCTCAGCCCAAACCCTCAGTAATCAGACTGTTGCTCAGGTGGAACACATTCAGTCTTCTAACACTGCTATAGCAATAACTCAACCCTGAGCCTTTCACGCATATAACAGGATACGCTGAGGCCTTTAACAAGTAAATATTGTCAGGAGTTCAACGCATCATTTGCTGAATCTCAGCTGCAAGGGAGAACAATTTGTGCAGAGGAACAGCATCATTTTTTATTTGGTCACTGCCGTTGAGGACATTTTTTTTAGAAATACGGTACTTTTAGTCAAAGGAATATTTGGCCTTTTGTATCAATGCATGTCTCACATGGTGTATTTTAAGATGATGAAGAGGTTCTGTAAATGTATCACATTAGCATAATAGGTGTTTTTACAATTTTAAGCATACACTTTTATATATTTGGTATTAAAATAACAGGCTTTTAGTGATTTATCATGAGCAAGGGAAAAGAGGAAGTATGGAACAGATGGAGTTCTGCTGGCTTGTGTTTTATTGCGTGTCTTCTCAGAAGCAGAGATCAGGGCGGTTTTCTAATCTGTTTTTACACATGCATAAATTTCACTATGAAATGATTACATAATTTTAATGTTCTACCTGCGGTAAATAAAGCTTTCTGTGATGTTCTTAATGTTTTTTTTATTTGTAATTTAACCATGGTCCATTAGACTAGTTGTCCAAAATTCTCAGAATTCACTAAAGATCACTTTGTTTGTGAATGAATTCAGATTAGCCTTCCTGTTAAATTTGAATTATTTTTTCAATTTCCCCAATTTCTGTTTAACAGAGATTTTTTTCAACACTATTTTTATTTGTGTAATTTCTATCATTTCTAAACATAATAATTTTAATAACTAGTTTCTAATAACTGATTTAAATTATCTTTGCCATGATGACAGTAGCCTACATAATATTTTACTAGTTATTATACAGAATACTAGTATTGAGCTTAAAGTGCAATTTAAAGGCTTAATTATGTTCATTAAGTTAACTAGACATGTTAGGGTAATTAGGCAAATCATTATTTAACAATGGCTGCAGCCAATTTAAATAATATTGCTTGAGAGGGTTAACAATATTGACCTTAAAAGTTTTTTTTTTTTTTTTAAATACAAACTGCTTTTATTCTAGCCAAAATAATACAAATGAGACTTTCTTTAGAAGAAAAAATATTATAAGGAATCCCGTGAAACATTCCTTGTTCTGCTAAACCTAATTTGAGAAATAATTGAAAAGATAAATGCACCACTGGAGGGCTAATAATTTTAACTTCAACTGTATGTACAGGCTTACAAAAATTAAGTGATTTGAAAAGTGATTTATTTTTCTGGATTTACTAGATTTATGAGATAAGTGAGCAAAATACATGTTTTTTAATACACTTCAATCGTCTGATAACATTTCATTCATATTTAGAATAAAATGATGTCATTGTAGCTCTGTTTTTTTTCACAAAACGAGAAAATCATGGTTATTTCTTTATTGCTTTCCTAAAAAGTTAATGGTATTGTATTTTCTAAAAATCAAAGTTAATATGCATGAAAACATTGTATTTTGATTAATTTTCATTTTGTGCAGTAAATAATATTTTTATTTTAAATTTAGAAGAGTTATTGTCATCTGTTATATTTTTTATTTTCACTCAAACAAAACAATACATCATGAATCCAGAATTTGTTTTTGTTTACCATAGCTATACAATCATTCTGTATTGGCTGTTATAAAGCTACTGTATACACAGATGCATATTATACTTTATTCTTTTTACTTTAATATGCATTTTGTATATGCATACATTAGATTAGATGCATACATGATTTAGCATTAGAAATTCATGCTAAATATTAAATTAATTATTATAAGTGCCATTGGAAACACTTGTCTTCTGCAAAATATTTCTGCTTTAAATCCATTTTTGTTTTTAGAATTAATAAAATACAATCCCCCAAAATTTAAAGCAGTGCAAAAATATGCTTTTTATTAAGTTTTTGATAAATTAGGTTTAGGAGACTTAAAAATGATTAGGACTACACAAATCTAACCAATGACACTGAACTTCTTATGTAGGCTGTATGCAAACATAACGCAGTATTGTCATATTCTGAAATCGAATTAAAAAGTTCCCGAAACAACAGCTGTTTGTCACTACGTCAATATTTACGTCAGCATAGTCGTCAACATTGAATTTCACCGAAGCTTCCCACTTTTTTTGAGCAGGCCTGTTGGTAACTTAATTCGAAGAGACTTAACAGGTTTTCTACAAATGACCACCACGTAGATGCCAGTCTTAAACACCGCCTCAGTAGAGACAGATACTGCTAACAAATAAGTCTCTTTTAGGCAGCCCATTCATTTTATTTAGTACAAAAAAACGTGAAAGAATCTTCGCGCAAATCAAAACGCAGACCTTAATTTACTCAAATCGAAACCTCCATTTTAAAAACCTCATTAGAAATTCCCAGGAGACCTCGTCACAGAGAAGCGTTAATTTTCTTCCGGGTTTTACGACCACAAACGACACAGCTCTGTTAAAGTTTTATTTTAAATGTGGGGAAAAGTCTGAGGACCCTTCGAAAGGCGTCGTTTGCGAGATGATGTCCTGATTTACTCCGCCCGGTGGTTACGCCCTGTTCAAATCAAAAGTGTTTGTTTGTTTTGTTTGTCGACAGTTGCGTGAAATCGTTGCACCAAGCCCTCACAACATGTGCTGTATTCTCGCTAATTAACTTGCATTAAAGTGTACAGCTGAGCGCGCTGCTGGGGTCTGCAAAGGAACATGCTGTATTTTCCCCTCTTGCCCCAGTGCCATGGATACTGTAGCGGTACAGGTGGAGCCTCTGACAGGCTGCTTCACAGTCACGTGATCTGATTTAGAAGAAGCAGCGGCTGCAGAAATTGGTTAATTTCATCGCCAGACTACCGTCTAGTAAAAAGGCTGTTGATATCGTTTGCGTCTGTTGATTTCAACAACATAAACAGGAGAACGACGAACCGCGCGCTCATTCATCAGTCAGAGATCCAAGACCCGCGGAAAAGCATCGAAGCATCTGTAGAGCATCGCGCGCAGGGAAGCAGGATCTTACAATCTGTGTGCTTGACTCCATTCAGTCGCAACACAGTTTACACTGGCACCTTCATTGACTGGACTTACTCTGGACATGGCTGGTTATCTGAATCCTTCGAGTGAGACTTGAGAATGATTCTTCGCGCTCGCTTTTTGATGGATTGTGCAACGTGGAGCGATAAACTTTAACCGGCGGTCGGCTCGTACCAGAGATGCGTGTAGATGTGCTCTGAATGGCAGGCGTACTTTAAGCAACTCTCTGCGTGTGCATGTGGCGGCTGAAGCAGCTCTCCTGGACGCCAGAGCTTGACGGATGAGACGAACTCGTGGCTGGGACTACACCGCGCGTTGTGATGCTTCTTCTTTACTCTCTGTCTGATGTCAATTTGGATTTCTATAGTCAAATCTGCGCGTTTCTAGAATGGCTCGCTTCGAAGACGATCTCCCGACCCGGTATGGAGGCGGCGGTGGTGGCTCTCCAGCGGGGCCAGGCAGAGGGGCCACCCGGCAACCAGGCCCCCCGGGCGGACCGAGAGTGTACAAGCAAACAATGGCCCAAAGAGCCAGGACAATGGCTATATACAACCCGATACCGGTCAAACAGAACTGCCTTACTGTCAACCGGTCCCTGTTCATCTTCAGCGAAGATAATATCATTCGGAAATATGCAAAGAAAATAACAGAGTGGCCATATCCTTTACGCAATCCACAAGCACTTGTAAGAGGGGCATACATAGTCTGACATGACTGTAAACTGAGCATTGTCAGCTTTTAAGCTAGTTAAGATTGTAAAAGTTTGACGCAAATGGAGGGTTTGTGTTTATTCAGCATATATAAACAATTGTGTTAATGTTCAATCTGTTACAGTCACTCTTTTAAATGACATCCAGCATGCAGGGTGTTGTCTCTGATGGAGCAAACATTATTTGAAGAGGAATCAGTCGTTTTTGATACTTATTCTTGTTTGGCTTGGTTTGCGATATATAACGTTCGTCTCGTGACGTAAAATAATCATTTGGAGATTTGATTGTGTTTTGTCCCTTTCACATTCAGTCACTGCGCTATTGATTCTTTTCAGCGAGGAAACGAGCCTCTCTGTCGCTCATGGCAACCGAAACAGCTCTTGCATTAGGCTGCCTAAATTGCTGTGCAGTCTCCGGAGACTTGCCCACGGGAATACAAGTCATAAAGTAACCAAGATAGTCTGGAAGCTGTAATATCAGAACATTCGGAGCTTATGTCGTAGGAATAGGATACTGTCAGTAAGCAATAAAGTTAATAGTCTGAGCTGTTTAAGCGGAACAGGTTAGTGCTTTAAAGTTATGGGCGCTAATATCATTCCAGAGGCCCGACCGGCGGTGCTCAAATTTTGGATTGTTTCAAATCTTAATGGCTTCGCTGAACGGAGTATTTCCCTTTCACGTGGGAATGTTTCAGGGCTGCTCCAGTCGCTCTCCGTGGTGCTGAAACGCCTACGTCCAGGGAAATGCGGAAGTAATGCAAGACTATTGAGCGACTGAATATAAAACGCCCAGTGTTGGCACAAGAGAATTGAGATTAGAAAGACCATTTCGATTATGTTTACATAGCATTAAACTAGCAAAGAAGGCATTATCTGACAACGCTCTGATTCTTTTCGGCAAATATGTAGGCATGGGCCAGTATAGGATACTGAAGGTTTGATAACCTTGGATAAAAATATGACGGTTTCATGGTATTTTGATTACTGCTTAAAAAAAAAAAAAAAAAAAAAAAAAAAAAAAAAAAAATATATATATATATATATATATATATATATATATATATATATATATTCTTTTAAAAGTCTGGGTAAAAAAACAACCCCCCTTCCCCTCTTTAACACAATATATTTTATTTTGTGAAACATTTAAGATACTTTGTAACTGTAAACATGTCAGGCTGAATTATGAAAATGAATCATTGACTTCTGCTGTCTTCATTAGTTTCAAAAACACAGTTTTTTTTTTTTTTTGCAAATGAAAACAGCATTTTTGCATTTCTTTTCTGCTGGAGATACTGTTGTCCTAAAAACATAAAAAATTGTGCATATACCGTAGGAATGGTATAACAAAATATTTTGCTGATTTTAAAACCTTGTCTTTTCCAAACTGCGTTATACCGTGAAAACCTTTATACAGTTATACCGTGAATCGCATGCCTAAAAATTTGGTAAAAATGCAATTATTAACATTTGCTGTCCAATTGGGTAAATTTTTTTAAATGAATAATATTAATAAATATACTTGCTGTTATTTTACTCACCCGTAGGCCATACAAATTGTAGGTGACCCTTTTGCTTTGTTTTTTCCCCTCATCTTAGTTGAACACAAAGATTTTTAGCTGCAACTGTTAATGTTCCATGAGATGCAAGAAATTTCCCAGTACTGGGTTGCAGCTGGAAGGCCATCTGCTGTGTACAACATACAGTATGCTAGAATAGTTGGTTGTTCATTCCATTATAGCGGTCTCTGAAGATCAGATACTAATTAGAGACTAAGCTGAAGGAAAATGAATAAATGAATGAAATGCAAGCCAGAAAAAACAATCAAGCAAACAAAAATGTACAGAAAAATAAAAATGAGCACATATGTTTCCAATGATACATTTAAGGTTATATAAATTAAAATGATTAGTCTGTGCAAGAAACTGAACAGGCAACTTTGTTGCCCTTTATCCATAGCCTCAGGACATGCTATAAATATTAAGTGCTTTAATAAAAGTGTAAGTTTCTTGTTCCACTTCATAAGACCTCAATGTGTCATCAGGAGCCACAGGTATTTATTTAGTTATACCATTGTAAGTTTTTAAAAAAGGTGAACTGCATTTTGAGACTATAGTTTCAGCTAAAAATCATCTTCTAGTGCTACTAATGAAAAAAAAACTATAACTTAAATGACACAAGAGTGAGTAAATGAACAGCAAATGTCTCTTTTTGGTTGAACTATCCATTTAAGACAAGCCGAAGGAAAATGAATGCATGACTGAATAAGTCAGTTCTTACTTATGTCATTTTTAACTCCTGACACAAACAAGGAATGAATAGTTTCAAACAAATTATTGCTGATGGCTGTTTATGAAATATGTTTCACAACTTCACCTTTTAACTTCACATGTGAAATCTATCAATTTCTGATAAAATTAAAAACTTTTGAACCATTATGGAGGGTAAAACACCAGCGTACCCCAATTTAAATGAGGATATATTGAACCAATAAATCTAAAATGCTTTATTGGTTCTAAAACCATCAGGCAAACTAAAAAGAAAGAGTATTATTTATGTGTTTGTTTATTTTGGCCTGTCCCAGTTCTCCAGTTTCACTTCAATTTAAAGCTCCAAGGGAGTATAATTAACCAAATTCCCCATTACATGGATGTTGTCCTGATGTGGAGACTGCAATAAGTCTACTAGTCTGACGCAGATGTGTTTAGAGGAGTGCCACGGGAAATAATTATCCTCCTCGCTACTAACCAATAGTGACGCAGGTCACACAGCTCTCGACTGAGACATAAGATACCAGAGATAAAGTCAGATCGGTTTTATCAGTCATTCTCCTTAATAAAAAAGTGAAGAATCAGTGCCTCTCATACATGCATCTTTAAGAGAATATTAGCTCTTAATTTAAGTTATTTGTTTGTTATTTTGTTCTTTATATAGAGAGAGATTTTGTAGTATCTTCCAAAAATGCTTGTTTGTTGTGAATTGCTATTGCTGTGATTTAATTGTTTTTTTTATATCTAATGGGTTCTTTCCTTAACGCTATCACTCCATTTGAGTACATGATTCTCGCCACAATCATAGCAAACTGCATTGTGTTGGGCTTAGAACAGCATTTACCAGCGTTAGACAAGACACCCATGTCAAAACGGCTGGTAAGTTGAACTTTTTCTCCTTAAATACCCTGCACTTTTACCTTTTATTGTCTTTTAAGATGGTGATTTGACAGACTTAACGTCTTTACAATAGCAGTAATTTTCTAAAGTTACTAGATCACAAGCTATCTACTCATAACTTTTAGAACTGTTTTATCTATTTACTGAAAGTGCTTTTTGGAAAGACTTTTTTTTTGTCAGCTAATCAGTTGGTATGTTGTTAAACAGCAGTACAATTAATTGACTTCAATGTACTGTTAATTTCCCTGACTGTTTTGTTTTAATTAGTTACAAATACGATGATCAAGAGAGATTAACATGCTGCAGTTTAATAAAACACATGCAATTACAAAAAACTGCAGCAAATTAAGAAAAGATCTTTATCTGTTTGACAACTCACATGCTGCAAACCTCACAAATCAAACACACTCACAAAAAATAAATGAGCTGCATTTTGTCACAACACAAATTAATAAGATGCCTACATTTTCTCACAACACTTTTCAAATAGCACGAAAGACAACAGAAATGTTTCAAGAGGACCCTTAAACATGACGGACCCAGCTATTTAGGCTTTTGTTTTTTAAGCTAATAAAATACAAAAGACACGGGAATCGGGATATTAAAAAAACAAAAAAACAACAACTCACCTTTCAATGATCATCTACAATTTCACTGAACAAGTCACAGTACAGCAGCATCCATCATGTTTTAGGGTCTCCTTGAAACATTTCTATTGTGTTTTGTTGTTTTTGCAAGTGTTGTGAGAATGCAGCGAGTTTTCGTAATTTGTTTGCGTTGTGTGAAAATGCAGTGCATTTTTTAAATTTGTATGCATTGTTAGGATTTGCAGCATGTGTGCTGTCAAACGAGTGAAGATCTTTTCTTAATTTGCTGGTGTTTAATTTGTAATTGCATGTGTTTTCTTAATTTGCAGGATATTAAGCTCTCTTGGCCATTGTATAAAAATGAAATATGAAGCTGACTAAGGTCTATTGTTTATTAAAACCACATTTTTATCAGTACTATTAAAAAGAGAACTGATTTCTTTTTATTCAGATACAGTTCTGAATGAATGTTTTTCAGTTTAAATTATTATTATTATAAATTTTTTTTACGATTTAACATTTCACAGTTATAATGGGATTTTAATTGATTTTAAAATGTGTACATTTATAAGGAATTCAGTTACACGTAATTTGTTGTCTTTAAAATTGTATTAAAATTAGGAAATTGTATAACTGTTCCTTAAAAACTGTTAAATATTTTACCAATAATTAATACATTGAGAAGTACATTCTGCTGTAATAGACATTCATTTTTTAAAATTTTTTTGTAGTTAACCAAAACTTTTCTTTTGAAGGTTTTTTTTTAAAGACTTTTGTGACATGATGGTAGTTTTCAGTGCCAGCCAGTAGAGCTGAGTGGTCCTAGGCGAGATAAACAATAATGGGCACACGGGTGTAAAAACAGCGAGAAGATAGCACAAAAAAAACACAGTTTTAGTATTTAAGTGTATGCATTATTATGAACTAAAACATATTTATTGGGGTGACGTGGTGGTGCATTGGGTAACACAATCGCCTCACTGCAAGAAGGTTGCTGATTTGAGCCTCGGCTGGGTCAGTTGGCATTTCTGTGTGGGTTTGCATGTTCTCCCCGTGATTGCGTGGGTTTCCTCCAGGTGCTCTGGTTTCCCCCACAATTCCAAAGACATGCGCTATAGGTGAATTAGGTAAGCTAAATTGTCCGTAGTGTATGTGTGTGAATGAGTGTGTGGATGGATGAATAGATGTTTCCCAGTGATGGGTTGCGGCTGGAAGGGCATCCGCTGCGTAAAAACATATGCTGGATAAGTTGGCGGTTCATTTCGCTGTGGCGTACCCAGATTAATAAAGGGACAAAGCTGAAAAGAAAATGAAATGAAATGAAAAATAAAATGAAATTTATTTATTCTATAATACAGATGTAAAATTTTTTACTCAGATTTAAACAAATAAATTGAAAGCATTGAAAAGTATTGCAAATGAAAGTGTGTTGTAAAAACAAATTGTACATAAAACTAAATAAAATAAAATGCAAATAAATAAAAAAGTGAATGCAAAAGACCCAGATTGGAAACCTGTGATGTTATATTACTTACGACTTTAAGGCACCTTTTCAGGTTTATCAAACGTGAACAATTTAAAGAGATATGTGGAATCTGTTTAGGTATACGTTACGTCATTCTAATTTACCCATTAGCTGATTGCGAGCGGTGTTATGCAAAATCTTTTTTTTTCTGCTTTTATTCGTACTGTTGTTGTCTATTTATTAAGCTGTTTGTCATTAATGAATTATTCAGAGCTATTCTTTCAATGAAATGTGTAGGTTATTTATTATTTCTCACCATTGTTGTGAATTGTATTGCGTTTAATTGGGTTAGTGCATTGCGCAATGTTCATTGCTCATGATTTATACGTACACACTCGTCTTCGCTTTTACAGTTACAACAAATATAGAATAGCAGCGTTCGTGGGGCCCTCCTAGAAATGTGGGCCCTAGGCGACCTGGATGGGCTGGCACTGATTGTTTTTCATGAAACATTAAAGTGTTTGTTAAATGAACAATTAGAGCAGCTCTGAAAATTATATTCAAATGCCCTCATAAAATGATTCATCAGACTCCGAAAACACAATCATCGTGTTTAGCAAACAAAATTACTAATCACTCTTACAGAACACACAGAACGCTCTGAATACATATCTAAATAATCTGTTTAAGGCGTAGGTCTCCTGGAGGGCCGCAGCTCTGCACAGTTTTGCTCCAGCCCCAATCAAACACAGCTGATCCAACTAATCAAGGTGTTCAAGACTATTAGAGACTATTAAGCTGGTGTGAGTTGAAGCTGGTTGGAACTAAACTATGCAGAGCTGCGGCCCTCCAGGAATTAAGTTTGAGACCATTAATTTAAGGTTTGTTATTTACAGACACTAATCCATATTGTGATTTAATAAGGTGTACAGACCAGCTTTTGCAAATTCTGACACATTCCATGATATAAATACCTTTTTTGTGTGACTAATTTCTCGACTCACCCACATTGATGGAAATTACAGAGCCTTACTTTTACTATTTTAAACTTCATACCTTTTTTCTTTAAAAGATCTCTTCATTTTTGTCATTTTTGCCCTCATTATGACGAGACCGTATGTTCACAGTTTGAGAGAGAGGGGGATGGGATCAGGAAAGGTCTGCGACTTGGCTATCGACGCCAACATATTTTCTTTTTAAGGTGTAGTTATTACTATAGATCAACATTTTTTACCCCTTACCTTTACATTATTCATTTAGGAGACACTTCGATTTTTAGCGAGCTCCTATCCATCAGTAGTGGATCCTTAACTGCCCTCCTGCATTGATCCACCGATCTGTGTTGATGCTTGACAGTTGATTGGCACTTCAATGTATATAATAAAACAGGGTCATGATCTTTTGAGTGAATTGAAAACTCTTTAGTTAGCATTCTGTGTTGTTCTGTATCATACAATTCTTCAGATTTTAGATTTTACAACCAAACATGAGCTCTTACATATTCTGCATTGTTTTGTTTTTACCTGCTTTTACTTGTTTTTATATTCATGTAGTCAGAGTATTACAGACTTTAGGTGCTCATGTATCAGTTGGTATTTTGTTTGAGTACACTGAGCTGCTTTCATAGTCTCTATTTATTCTCTTTGTGAAATCTGTTGTATTTTACTGTATTGTGCTGCTTTAATGTTCAATAGAGGAACAGTTTAACGAAAGCTGTAAAACATTCAGTGTGGTTGCCAATGAGAGATTTACGTTTCTCTTCATACTTGATTTTCATTGTTTGCTTGAATTTTGTCTCATTTTACACTAATAACCTCTCTACATATCTCCGCAGGATGACACTGAGCCCTACTTCATCGGAATATTTTGCTTTGAGGCTGGGATCAAGATCATCGCTCTAGGTTTTGCTTTTCATAAAGGCTCCTACCTCCGCAATGGCTGGAATGTTATGGATTTTGTTGTCGTGTTGACGGGGTAAGTTTTGGTAATGTTTTAACGTATTACTCAATAAGTGAATGCTGAAACTTAAACTAATAGATAGTGGTAAATATACACCTTTGTTCTTTTGAGTTTTCCAGTTTATTAATCTCTTATTGTGTTTCATACACTAATATTTAGCATGTGAGCAATTCCAGCATTATGGATGTGACATTTTCAGTAAAAACCCAAAACATAAATTCACATAGTGTAATATTAGTATATATTACCATTACATTGAACAATCTGTGTATATTTTCCAAAACTACTGCTCTTATAACTCTGTGGTTAGAAATATATTAATCTGTAAACATGTTTGGTACTTTAAATTAGGAAAATAAACATGCGTTATGGATGTGACGAAAAAAGTCTGCGAGTTTACAGTATACAAAATAACTTTGTAGAAATTTTGTGAATTAAACTGCACAACCCCCCCCAAAATGATGCTAATCAACAGGATTAGAGTTGGCTCACTATAGAACAAACATGATTGATTTTATTTTATTTAATATTGTTGCATTTATGAGGAAAAGGCTTTGTTATGGATGTGGCATCTCTGCGTTATTGATGTGACTCATGTAAAATTGCCACTAGTGTGACTTTGGTAAATCAAATATAATTGCTTAAAAACATTAACAGAGACATTTTTGAGTATGTCTAAGTACTTTGAAATACTTGCTTACACAAAAAACATTGTTGAAACTTTTCGTTTTCAGTTTTTTTCATGGCAAGGTTGACATTTGCATAGAATTGCTGATGTCCATAATATTTTGTTTTTTTGTGTTGCTTGTGAAAGGGATAGTTACTTCATAAATAAACATTTACACACTGATTACTTGTGCTCAAGTGGTTCTAAACCTTTATAAGTTTTTGTTGAGCACTAAAGAAGATATTTAGAAGAATGTTGAAAACCGGTAACCATTGACATCCATAGTAGGAAAAATAAGTATAATGGAAATAATTTGTTAATAGTTTTAAGCATTCGTCAGAAAATGTTCTTTTGTGTTGAACTCAATCAAGTGTGTAAGAAGTAAAGGGTAAATAAATGATTGTTCTTTAGTGAACTATCCCTTTAATATTGAGTGACTGAACTGAGGAGAGTAATGACTTCATTGTTTACAAGTTAGTGGCATAACTTTGCTTTGAAAAGTAATGGTGGTCACTAGGATGTAATATCAAATCTATCATGACAGAAACATTCAATGATGCCTTCAATTTTTCCATGATGTAAGAAGTGTTTCAACACTTTCCTGTTGAGTGACGGGTAAAAATGTGATTTCAAAGCAAAAGACAAAAGTAAAGATAAATGACACAGAAAGTTGAGTTCACTCTACCTGTAGACTTAGAGAGATGAGCACAGATATGCCACACAGTGACAGGGGTTGATCAGATGAGTGATACAATAATAAACCAGTAGAACACTTGTGTTCATGCTTACATTAAAAACCCAACACAGTCTCAATGAAAATTCAGCTTACATTTTTTTAACCACAAAGATATGCTTAAACATATGTTTAACTGCAGTTTCTAGATAAAATGAACACTATATTGCAGAACAACGCCAACAACTTTTGTTCCTTTTCACATTAATGATATCCCCAGTGGCAAATTATTGATTATCATAATAAAGATTATATTTGTTATATTTGAATATATTACAAATACCACAAAGCACCTCAGCATTGTCTATTATTTGCAATCAAATACATTAGCCTCACTAAATGGACATCTTTTCTGGCATAGTCAGTTTGCTCAGTAGCTCACTTTGTACAGTAAGAGATAAAAGCATTGTAAAATCAAGGTAAAGCTACACGATCACAGTGCACTTTTTCACTTATGTTTACATTTGAAAACACTGTTGGTTGGGTTTAGATCAGCAGCTCCATAAGTGATGTGCATGTATGACGAGCCCCACCTTCTCGTGGACATGTTCAATAAGGACATGTATGTGAAACATATATCAAAATGTACCCTAAGTAACATATATCAGATTTGCAAAAATGTAGACAGCAACCTATAGATGACTTGTCATCCTAAATGTGCAACGAAACGTACCCGGAGCAATGTATCTTACATTTTGCACAAATGCAGGCTGGGGCACATACTTACAATGAACTTGGGCTGTATTAACACCTCACAGTTTATACTGTTTTAAACAACCCAGGCTCATTGGAAATACATGCCCTTAGCTACAATTATTAGAACCAAGAAATAAGTTTTCTTGAAGTTTTTGCTTTCACAAATCCACTAGAGGATGTTGTGTACATTTTTGACAATCACAGATATGTTACCTGGGGGTCACGTTTTCTTATACGTGCCATTTCTTGTAAAACCACAAGAGGCAGCTGCAAACATCTCTGATCATTTCTTAACATTATTCTGGCATGTCTGTGAGAGAAGCCGGTTGCCTTGTCAGCATGTATAATATAATAGCTTGATATCGACTGACCCAACTCCGTCCCTAAACCCAACCGATAATGTTTTCAAAAGGACTAAACTAGAAGAGAAAAGCCATCGTGGCCACACTTTTACCACACCATCACACTGCTCTTTGTTTTGGTTTTTTTTCTATATGATTTCTTGAGCAGTCTCACTTTTCTTACATACTTAAACCCAGTCTGCTACACTCCGCCACCCAAGTCTGGTACTGTTCGTGGTAAGCTACTGAGCAAATTAGGCATGCCGGAGGTAAGCAGTAAGCTGTATCACCCCGTAACATTCATTTTACACACAAAACACAGCCTTTATGTACCCTGAGGCACAACTTTCTCGGCTCTCAAAAATGTATCCATAGGCTCATTTTCCCAGTGAGCTTGTGTCTGTTTTAAAGTGTCAGTTTTGGCAGGAGCAAAATAAGCCACTACTTGTGCAGTATTTGTTATTATGAGGATTATACTTTTCCTTTAAAGCATACTTTCTTCAAGTTAAATAAATTATTACTAGAAATAAAAGTGGTGGAGACATGTCCCATCCATCCCACATACACATCTTACAGATGTTACACCCATAATTCAAACAAAGCGTCATGTGGCATTGGAAAACAGTGGACAGAACATGATCTGTCTCTTAAAAAAACGAAAACAGACAGTTGTGTTGTCGTTTTAATGTTATTGTTGACAACAGTCTCAGCGCAACTGAGTGGAGAAGCAAATTGGTGTGTTTGACCTCGGCACCGACAGTGAAGCAGAGGTCCTGTACATAGATAAATGATGTTTGTGAGTCTGGCATGCAGTAGATGCAAAGGTCTTTATACAGCACTCTGGCCTGTGCTTCAGTAGTGCTACTGGCTGGTGCTTTAGAGGTGTAATGGAGTGGAGAGAGAAAGAGCTCTCCTGTAAGGCGTACACAGGGACATTCAGATCATTCATAGTATTAAATCCTACTGTAGATGAGTGTTTTTGTCAGCATTGTATTTGCCTACAAATATTGCTTGATTAATTTTTGAGGGGCTTCTGAAATGTGAAATTAGTGGATTTTTTTAGGGGCGACATGAAAACATTCAAAGCTAAGATTTAAATTTGTTAATTTAGATGTTTTCTGATTGTTTATGTTTGGACTTGAAATATTTGAAAGTTAAAGGAGTCATATTCTCACAAGCTGTTTTTTTGTTTTTGGGGTATAGTGATTGTCATTAGGTATCAGTTTATTTGCTGGTTAATAGCCCTTTATTATAATAGCAGACTTAAAAATCATCAAATTTAATCAAGTTTTAATATACTTTTTCCCAGTACTGGCTTGTGGCTGGAAGGGCATCCGCTGCGTAAAAAATGCTGGAATAGTTGGTGGTTCATTCCGCTGTGGTGACCCCTGATAAATAAAAAGTTGAATGAAAATTAATGAATATATATGTATGTAAAACTTGATTTCAATTTAATTTTATTTCATATATGAAGGAATAAATAAATAACTGAATATGAAAACAAACAAACATGTAATCTTAATTAAGTAAAATAAATTATAAAATCACTAAGCAAAATGACCATGGCTATAATAAAAATAGAAAAAAAATTAAAAATGTCTATTAGAAACTTATCGAGACTTTGTTGTACACAGGAATAAAAAGCTATAATATCTCGGTGTATGTTTGCCAGACAGCATTGTTTTAGTTTCATTGAGTAATTGTAGTATTTTGGGGTATTTTAGATTTTATTATGCAACATAATTTTTAAAAATGAAATAATGGAAAATAAAATTATGCACTTTATAAAATAAGTACTAATTTGTTTGTGTTTTAATTTATTTAGCTATTAATTGTTTTTTAAAAGAAATGTGAATGAAATATATTCAGTTTAGGAGGAGCTACTGACAGCTGGGATTTATAGTCAAATCTGAAGTGTTTTACTTGTTTTTGTTTAAAATTATGTTAATGAAATGTGTTTGGAGTGTAGTGCAATTAATGAAAAATCATGCTTTTTTGCTTTATGAACAATTGTATAACTTTTAAAACTATTATTAAAAAGCATAAAATACTTTAAATATATATATATATATATATATATATATATATATATATATATATATTTCTCAAATGATTTTTAATAGAGAAAGGAAATTTTCTCAATTTGCGTTAAAAATCTTTTTTTTTATATTGACATTTTAATGTCAATATTATCAGCCTTTTTAAGAAATAATTTTTTCTATTGTCTACAGAACAAACTGCTGTACAATAATACAATAACTGAATATTAATATCTAGGAAAATATCAAGTTACATATTGTTTACTGTCGTCATGGCAAAGATAAAAAATCTGTTATTAGAAATGAGTTATTAAAACTATTATGTGTATAAATGTGTTGAAAAAAAACTTCTCTCTGTTAAACAGAAATTGGAAAAAAAATACAAGGAGCATAATAATTCAGGGGGGCTAATAATTTAGACTTCAACTGTATTTTTAAAATATATACGCATTTAGATGTAGTCTAAAATATTTAATTATCATCATTTTCATGCAAAAACAAGTATGTCCCATCAAACCTCATATGTGAGCAGCTCCTCC